AGGGGTTCTGTGGGGGGGCAGTCAGGGGGTGGGAAGTGGGAGGGGTGGATAGGGGGCGGGGGCCAGGCTGTTTGGGGAGGCACAGCCTTCCCTACCTGGCCCTCCATACAGTTGCGCAACCCCGATGTGGCCCTCGGGCCAAAAAGTTTGCCCACCCCTGGTCTAGCTCCCCATCCTTCGGGATTCCCCCCCCACTACTCACCTGACCAGAAGCTTTGGGGGGTCCCCCACTCTCTGGGATGTGGAGGGTCTCCAACACATGGCTCTTCTTCTTGCTCAATTTTACATAGGATCTCTGGTTTGACAGCAGGCCACCCTGTTCCAGGGACGGAGAACAGTAAAGTCCCATGTTTACATTAATGTAATTAGAGTCTGGAAGAAGGCTCCTCCATCCTCATCATCAGAGGTACTATCCCTCGCTCTCAGCTCTATCTACTCCAAATTCATGGGCATGCACATTTCACACTCCTCTAGCCTTAGTGCTCCCTCCATCTATCTGCCCACTTCTGACTCGTGTCTTCTGTCCTGCTGCCCCTACATACCTCTTCTGCTCCAGCTGTCAGTCCTTAGCGTCACATCTCAATCTTCTTTCTGCAGGAATCTTTCCTATCTAGGGCTCCTTACCCCATCCACTGTCCCATGTTTTACCGTGTCCGTGTTAGAGTCTAACGTCTCGCTGTGTGTCCGCAGAGTGCCCCGTACGCTCATGCGTGCTAGGAATGGTCAATGACAGGGCAGTATATGGGCCAAATTTTCAAGCTTTGGAACCTGACGTTAGATGCCTAACTCCATATTCCGGCATCTAGACAAGAATGGCCCAGCTCCTGGGAGAAAGGCGAAAGGGATCCTCACCCAGCGAGGTGACCAGCTCGTAGTTCTCCCTCATCACGGCCCGGTACAGCTCCCGCTGCCATTCCGCTAACGCCGCCCACTCCTCCGGGGAGAAATAGACCGCCACGTCCTCGAACGCCACCTGCAACACAAGCCGCCCGGCTCAACATTGTGGGCTGCACGGATAGCCAGAGCCCACGCTGGGGACTGCAGTAGGATCCAGACACGGGCAAAACCCCTTGGCCCCAGTGCCACGCAGTCTGCGTCCCACTCCCCACCAGGCCCGTCTGCCAGTAACGGCGTTACCCGAAAACTGACAGCCAGGAGGTGAGCGCAGAGGGGCTGCTGGGGAAAGGATAAAACAAAACTGCTTTGAATCTGCGGTAAGTACAGCAAGACACAGGGGCATAACTGGCTCCCGATGCGTGATGGGCCCGTCAGTCTTGGGGGGGCTGGGGGGGGTTGAGAGACTTAAAACGCATCCCGTAATCCGGCAAATCAAGGGTTAAGACAAGAATGGGGACAGTGAGAGAAAGCGTCAGCCTGCACAGTAACGTCACTCTAGACAGCCCCTCTGCATTGCGCACCTCACCAGGCCGGGGTTCAACCCTCCTGTGCTGGAGGCTATGGGATGATCCAGGTTAAAGGGACAAGTGGGGGGGAAGGGGAAGGACCCTGAATCCTGGAGACATGGGCTGACCGAGGGGAAGAGGAGGAGTGCAAGGAGAGCTAGAAGCGGGGCAAAGGGATCACGCTGTGGCAAGGACAGCCACGCACAGCGCTGCAAACCTCGCAGCCCCAGAGAGAGCGATACGGGGGAGAGGTGCAGGAGCAAGCCCTGCTCGCTGTTCGGGACAGTATGTTTTAAACATGCCTTTTACAGGGGGAGGGATAGCTCAGTGGATTGAGCATTGGGCTGCTAAACCCAGGGTTGTGAGCTCAATCCTTGAAGGGGCCACTTAGGGATCTGGGGCAAAATCAGTATTTAGTCCTGCTAGTGAAGGCAGGGGGCTGGACTCGATCTTTGAGGGTCCCTTCCAGGTCTAGGAGATAGGTATAGCTCCATATATTATTATTATTTTTTGTATTAAAAGTCGTGGTTCTTTTCAGGCCAGCAGCTCAGTGGTTTTCTGACAGCACCGAGAACAATTCAAGGAGCAGCCTGCAAAACCCAAGATGAGCTAGAACCAGACCGGACTCTCGATCTGAGCACTGAGCAGTCAGACACGCTCCGTGCTGGCCCAGGAATCAGTCACGCTGCACAAGCGGCCCTCGCCGGCAGTTCTCATGGGTCCCAGGCCCTCGGTGCCTGAATTTACTTCAAGGAGAGTGAGTCACACTTTAAAATGACTTCCCGAAAGCAGCCTGTCCTCACCAGGCTGCCGAACCGCCCCCGCCTTTCCCAGTGGCTATTTTTAGAGGCAATATTAACTCTTGTGAACAGAAGGGATTAGCAAGGAGCACCAGGAATAACGGGGACAGGAGTGAAGCCATTTATTCTACGTGGCGCAGCCCGACTGGTGTGGCCTCTCCTGAGCAGAAACCTCTGTTTCCATGTCCCCTGGAGGTGGTTTTAGAACGAGGGCAAACATCCGCCAGGTGCCAGCCTGGGACACCTCAATCATTCAGTTCACTTGTGACCAGGTCAGAGGCCAGGTTTCAGGAGCAGAAAATCCTGCACCTAAACCATCTTCCCTGTCTCCCAAGCAGCACCGCCTGGAAAAGCGGCGAATGCAGGAGCCAGGGGAGAGCGGAGACAAGGGATAGGAGTCAAGAGCCGCACACTCATAGGTGCTGGATCTAGGGGTGCTGCGGGTGCTGCCGCACCCCCTGGCTGGAAGTGGTTTCCATCACATCCAGGTTGACAGTTTGGTTCAGTGGCTCTCGGCTCTCCCACTACACACATTGTTCCAGCCCCCCTGTGCATGCTCTGCTGAGCCAGGCCGGCGAGGGCAAGGCAGGAATTCCTGTGCCATCCTACGACGCCCTGCTCCCTGCGAGCGGGGTCGCCTTCAGCAGCCCTGTCGCCCAGGAGCCTGTGCTAGGGAGAAAGCTTAGTATTCAAGCCACCCTAAGATGCCCGTACTGGGGGGAACAGAGCCGCCACACACTGGGGCAGAGCAGAGACCCTGCCGCCCCAGGCCTGTCTGCTACGCAGAGAGCCCCCGTCCCTGCAGCCCCTGTCACTACAGGGGGGAGGTGTGAGAGAGCGGGAGCCCCCCACCCGGGCTTGTCTGCTAC